ATTCTCCTGCCTCAGCCTCCTCAGTAGCTGGGATTACAGGCATGCACCATCATGCCCTAGCCATACTATTAAAGAAGAAAAGAGAGAAGAATCACATAGATAGAATTTAAAAAATTGATAAAGGGGCTATCACCACCGATCCCACAGAAATACACACTGCCATCAGAATACTACAAACACCTCTACGCAAATAAACCAGAAAAATCTAGATGAAATGGATAAATTCCTGGACACTTACACCCTCCCAAGACTAAACCAGGAAGAAGTTGAATCCCTGAACAAACCTATAACAAGGTCTGAAATTGAGGCAGTAATTAATAGCCTACCAACCGAAAAAAGTCCAGGACCAGAATTGCACCAGAGGTGCAAAGGGAACTGTTACCATTACTTGTGAAACTATTCCAAACAGTAGAAAAAGAGGGAATACTCTCTGACTGATTTTATGAGGCCAGCATCATCCTGATACCAAAACCTGGCAGAGACACAACAACAGAAACCTTCAGGCCAGTATCCCTGATGAACGTCAATGCAAAAATCCTTGATAAAATACTGACAAACCGATTCTAACAGCCCATCAAAAAGCTTATTCACCATGACCAAGTCAGCTTCATCCCCAGGATGCAAGTCTGGTTCAATATATGCCAATCAATAAACGTATTCCATCACATAAACAAAACCAAAGACAAAAATCACAATTATCTCAATAGATGCAGAGAAGGCCTTCGACCAAATTCAACAGTCCTTTATGCTAAAGACTCTCAATAAACTAGCTACTGATGGAAGGTATCTCAAAATAATAAGAGCTGTTTATGACAAACCCACAGCAAATATACTGAATGGGTAAAAGCCAGAAGCATTCCCTTTGAAAACCAGCACAAGACAAGATGCCCTCTCTCACCACTCCTATGCAACATAGTATTGGAAGTTCTGGCCAGGGCAATCAGGCTAGAGAAAGGGTATTCAATTAGGAAAAGAAGAAATCAAATTGTCTCTATTTGCAGAAGACATGATTGTATATTTAGAAGACCCCATGTCTCAGCCCAAAATCTCTTAAGCTGATAAGCAACTTCAGCTAAGTCTCAGGGTACAAAATCAATGTGCAAAAAATCACAAGCATTCTTATACACCAATAACAGACGAACAGAGCCAAATCATGAGTGAATTCTCATTCACAATTGCTACAAAGAGAATAAAATACCTAGGAATACAACTTACAAGGGATGTAAAGGACCTCTTCAAGGAGAACTACAAATCACTGCTCAGTGAAATAAGAGAGGACACAAACAGATGGAAAAACATCCCATCCTCATGGAAGAATCATTAGGAATCCCACGCTCATTAGGAAGAATCAATATCATGAAAATGGCCATATTGCCCAAAGTAATTTATAGGCTCAATGCTATCCCCATCAAGCTACCATTGACTTTCTTCGCAGAATTGGAAAAAACTACCTTATATTTCTTGTGGAACTGAAAAAGAGCTTGCATAGCCAAGACAATCCTAAGCAAAAAGAGCAAAGCATCATACTACCTGACTTCAAAGTATACTACAAGGCTACAGTGATCAAAACAGCATGGTACTGGTACCAAAACAGATATATAGACCAATGGAACAGAACAGACGCTTCAGAAATAACGCCACAGGAGAATTGCTTGAACCCTGGAGGTGGAGGTTGCATTGAGCCAAGATCGCACCACTGCACTCCAGCCTAGGTGACAGAGTAAGACTGTGTCTCGAAACAAAAAAATAATAAAGTGCTTCATTGCAGTAGCTAAAGTGTGTAGGGAGACCCTGGGCTGGATGTCATGCATGCTGGCAGAGGGGGCTTGACCAGGGACCCCCCCCAGGTGAGGTGAACCTGTCTTGTTGAATGCCCAAGTTGGGAGAGTTTTCAGTTGTTGGTATGTTTTATCAGGTTAGTAATCTGAAATGGTCAAATTGCTAATGTGCAAATTTATACTACTTACTAAAATGTCTATTTTTAATTATGTTGTTCTTTTAGAAGTTAAGATCTGAAGAACAACAGCTCAGTTTCCAAACATCAGAAAATAATGTCTTCAGAGTAAACAACCTGCTATTAAGTAAGTTTGTCTCGTCCATAGCAGTATTTATTGTCAGTGCCAAAAAATCAATTTTGGCTAATGCAGCAACTAATCAACATTTGTCATATTGAGTGAGGTAAGGGCAAGTAGGAAATCATGAGTTGGGTTTTCTATTTGTTTCTGCCGTCAAGGCTTACTAGTTTTTTTCTAAATGTTGACTTCTTACTTATGGGGATGGGGAAGGAGATGAAACTATATTTAGTTTTCACAGGTATGTTTGAAATTCTTCAGCCAGGAATTCACATTGGGTGTCCAAGCCCATTTGTATGCTGACAGTTCTGACCAGCAAATCATTAACGCTGATGTATATTTTTGAGGAAGCCACTTCAAGGAATACTTAGGAATGGTTACAGTGACTTTGGGAGTCTGAGACAGGAGGATTGCTTAAACCTAGGAGTTCCAGACCAGTCTGGGCAACATAGTGAGTCCCCATCTCCCCCCACCAAAAAATTTAGCCGGTCACGGTGGTATGTGCCTGTGGTCCCAGATACTTGGGAGATGGGAGGATAACTTAAGCCCAGGAGGTCAGGGACGCAGTGACCTGTGATCACACCACTGCACTCTAGCATGGGTGACAAAGTGACACTCGGTCACAGAAAAAAGAAGCGGTTAATATTGTAAACTTTATCTTACATATATTTTACCAAGATAAAAATTTTTAAAACTAAAGCAAAATGGCCAACTTAAAACAGAGTAATAATTTGAGGCCTGATATTCACCCCTTACGTGCCTACCCCGATCTCAAATGATAACCCTTGAAAAGGTCATTGTTTACAGTTGTCCCTCAGTGTCAATGGAGGAGACAGGTTCTAGGACCCATGCAGATACCAAAAAGCGAGGGTGCTCAAATCCCTGATATAAAATGGCATAGTGTTTGCGAATCACCTATACACTTCCGTTCTTATATTGTAAATAATTTCTGGATTACTTGTAGTACCTAATACAATGTAAATGCTATGTAAATAGTTGTATTATGTTGTTCAATCAATAATGACAAAAAAGCCTACAAGTTAGGTATAGGTGCAGTTTTTTCATGAATATCTTTGATTCATGGTTGAAGCCACAGATGGGGAGCTCACAGATACAGAGGGCTGTGTTTCCTTTTGACAAAAATAAATAAAGCTTTGTGATAGAGAATGAAGAAAGAAACGGAAACTTGCCCCAAACCACCTTTGTCATATTTGCGAAAGAGTTTTTCATGCTAAGGGTTCTGTTTGAAATATATTTTGTTAGCCAACTTAATTTTCTTACATTTCTTTAACTGGTTATGAACAATTAGGAAAATTTTTAAATGAGATTGGCCTGAATTAAAGAACTGGCTTTGGTATTATAGCATAGTAGTTAACAAGACCTATCTTGTTAACCATAGTGCTATTTCATCGATGAAATTTTGTGTAGGCCTCTCATGGTGGCTCATGTCTGTAATCCTAGCACTTTGGGAGGCCAAGACAGAAGGAGCACTTGAAACCAGAAGTTTGAGACCAGCCTGAGGAACATGATGAAACCCTGTTTCTACCAAAAAAAAAAAAAAAATTAGCCAGGCCTAGTGGTGTACACCTATAGTCCCAGCTACTTGGGGGTTGAGGTGGAAGGATGGCTTCAGCTCAAAAGGCAGAGGTTACAGTGAGCCAAGGTCATGCTACTGCACTACAGCCTGGGCGACAGAGTCAGCCTCTGTCTTAAAAAAAAAAATTGTGTAGGTTGGGCATGGTGGCTCATGCCTGTGATCCCAACACTTTGGGAGGCCCAGGCACATCTTACATGGCGATAGCAGGAACAAGATAGGATTACTTGAGCCCAGAAGTTCAAGATGAGCCTGAGCAACATAGTGAGACCCTACCACTGAAGGAAAAAAAATAAAAAAGGTCAGGCATGGTGGTGTGCACCTGTGGACCTACCTACTCAGGAGAGGGAGGAGGATGGCTGGAGCCCAAGAATTTGAGGTTACAGTAGAGCTATGATTACACCACTGTACTCTAGCCTGGGCAACAGAACATTCTCAGTAATTAAATTTTATATCTTAGAATGTGATGTATCTAGGACATTTTAATGTATGATATCTATTAATGTGAATTCATAGTAGTAAACAAAAAAATTAAAACCATTAAAAATGTAGTTTTGAGAAGTGTATTAAATCCACATCAGTTGACGATGAATTGAAATATGTAACCTATTAGTTCTTCATTTCTCTAAATCTGTTCTCTAGTATGAAGGTAAAATTAAAGAATGGTTATATTTTCCTTATTTCTTCCATTTGGTGATTTGTTGGGATGATTTTTAAGTAAAAATCCAAACTTAAAAAGATTGGGTGACTAACTTACCATAATTGTCTTTTTTTCACCAAAAAAAGTGAAAGCTATCTGTTTTCTAAGCCAGGTATAGGCCTACTCTTCCTTAAATTGTTGTTTGGTAAATATTTTAGGTTCTGTGGTCTTTGTCCAACCACTCAGCTCAAAGCTGCTGGAGACAGTAATTAAATGAGTGGTGGTGGCCCTGTTAAAATAAAACCTTATTTACAAAAACAGGCAGTGTCTGTGGTTTGCTAGCTTCTGTTCCGAAGTTAGACGTTTTTTTTTTTTGCAAAAATTTGATCCCTATGTTTTCTAAGAAAGAGGATCCAGTTTGCTGATGCAGCAGGTCTGAGAGACGTAACAGCATCGCAGCATTTAGATGTCTTAATTGTGTGTTCATAGTGGCAGTAACTGCCTCGTGATTCTCTAGGACACATTTGCTTTTCAGAATGCTTTCTTGTTGCAATTTGCAGCGTTGGTTTTACTGTCCCCATCTACAAATGGCAGCACGAGCTGTTCCAGGTCGTCCTTTTCCTCAGAGTCAGTGCTGCCCTGAGCCTCCAGCGCTGCTGAGCTCCCGCCCTGACAGCCTCTTCTTTCTCTGCAGTGTGTATTCTGGGCACCAGTCCATCCTGATCCCACCCTCTGAGCTGGAAACCAACCCTGCCTTGTGGCTTCTTGCCGTGAGTCAGTACAAAGTCCGAGACACATTTTGCTCCTACTCCGTGATGGAGCTGTGCACCAAGGGGCTGGGCTCACAAACAGAGTCCCTCAAGGTAAGCAGCTCCCTTGGCAGCTCAGGGCCCCATGAGCCTATGGGGACTCAATTTCTAAGAAGGCACATCTGTGATTGGGTGAATTTAAAACAGTCCTCAAAAAAAAGCTTAGGTATATTGTAACATCACCTGAAGCTTACAAACTGCCTTCATACGAATTTTTTTTTTTTTTTTTTTTTTTTTTTTTTTTTTTGAGATGGAGTCTCGCTGTGTAACCCAGGCTGGAGTGCAGTGGCACGATCTCGGCTCACTGCAGCCTCCACCTCCTGGGTCCCGATTCAAGCAATTCTCCTGCTTCAGCCTTCCAAGTAGCTGGGATTACAGGCATGCGCCACCATGCCCAGCTAATTCTGTATTTTTTTTTTTTTTTAGAAGAGACAGGGTTTCACCATGTTGGCCAGGCTGGTCTTGAACTCCTGACCTCGTGATCCACCTGCCTCAGCCTCCCAAAGTACTGGGATTAGAGGTGTGAGCCACCGCACCCAGCCATGAAAATGGTTTGTTGTTTTTTTTTTCTTTCCCAAGATGGAGTTTCACTCTCGTTGCCCAGGCTGGATTGCAATGGCACGATCTCGGCTCACCACAAACTCCGCCTCCCAGTTTCAAGTGATTTTCCTGCCTCAGTCTCCAGAATAGCTGGGATTACAGGCATGCACCACCACGCCTGGCTAATTTTGTAATTTTAGTAGAGACAGGGTTTTTCCATGTTGGTCAGGCTGGTCTTGAACTCCCGACCTCAGCTGATCCGCCCGCCTCTGCCTCCCAAAGTGCTGGGTTTACAGGCGTGAGCCACCTGTCAAAACATGAAAATGTTTTTAATGTGAATATTTCCCCACAACCACAGACAGCAACGAGCCAGAATGTAAAATGCTTTCAATGTCTGTCATTCCACTGGGTCTACTTGAAAGATCCTGAATTTGTTTTTTGGTTTGTTTGTTTGGTGGATTCAGTGTTCTGAAGTGTTCAGTGTTTAGAAGCTCTTAGGTGGTGTTATCTTTATCTGATATTTGTGTTTAAGAAGGTAGGTTTGAATTTAACCACTCATCTGTTTTTCCCTGGAGACCCTGATTTGTAGATCTGGACCCTGAGCTAAATTTGTTTTACAATTAACAGTGTTGTGTTTTGTTTTTTAATAATTGCCGTTATGTAAGATTAGTAGCATTTCCCTTCATTTAAACCAAGGACATTTTGATAGGTATATCTTCATGGTAAATTAAGTAGTCCTTGGTTCCAAGTAACTAAGGGGAATTAATCGTAAGAGGGAATAATCATATGACCAGTTTTGATTAGATTTCAGTACTGACTATGTACTGTTTGGATGTATGTATGTCTTTGTATATACACAGATTGTGTTTGTGTTTGTGTCATCTGCACACAGATAAATAGCTCAGCGGTACATTTATTTGTCCTGCATTTTGTCTTCCTAATGCATTAAGCTTGATCAGAAAAGCAAAATGCAAGATAACTTCATGTAACATAAATAATTTTACGTTTTGTATTTATATAGAAAAAAGTTACAAAGTATTATTCACGTTCACCTGCATTGTATTAGAAAGTGAGTACATTTTCATGAACTTCCTGTAGGCACATGTATAAATAACCACAATAAAATAGTAATGACATGGTTGAGGGTCACTAAGCATTTTACATATTCATTTAATCCTTACAATAGCTGTCTGAAATAGGAGCCATTCTTGTCTTCATTTTAAAGATGAGGAAAGTTATGTCACAGAGAAATTAAGCTACCTTTCCAGCTTCTTACCTTGAATGAACCTGGAGCCAAATTTAGAATCTCTGGCTTCAGACCTGCTGTTGCAGCTGCACGCGGCTCTGCCTCTCAGACATGCACACGTGTGAGTATGTAATTTGAATTACCCAGCTTGAGTGTTTCCTGGTTAACTCTGTGTGTGCAGTCATGCCTGTACACTGAGAGCAAATGCAAAGCTAGAGCTGTGTCTCCTCATCAGGACCCTTACCAGTTGTCCGCATGCCAAGGCTACCTTGAAAGGGCTCAAAGGACCTGACAGTTGGGGGTTTCGTGGTTGCCCTCTTAGTAGCTCTGGTTTCCACTCAACGACGTGGTCATTTGCGGTTCACCTTCACATTCCCGAGCCTATTGCTAGCTGCTTTTCCTTCCACTTGGCCCAGGCAGAGCTAGCTTTTACCACAGAGCGAGCTGTGCTTGACTCCTTGAAATCCTTATATGACTCTTGCTGTTGTGCTCAGCTGACTACATTTGGTGTGGAAGCTGAGTGATGTTCTTCATCTTACGCTTACTGTAGAAACGGACACGCTTGAGAGTGAGAATTTATCTGTGACCTTCTCGGTGTAATGGGACATAAATGGAGCACTGTCTATATGAAGTCATCAAAAAAAAATTAGTTTTATATTCCCATATATTAAAATGTAGTTTTTCATGCTGGGTGTGGTGGTTGGTACATGCCTGAGGTCTCAGCTACTTGGGAGACCAAAGTGGGGAGACTGCTAAAGCAGGAGGGTCTCTTGAGCCCAGGAGTTCAGCTGCAGCCTGGGCAACATAGCAAGACCCCATCTCTTTAAAATATGTAGATTTTTCCTGTTTCTCTCCAGTGTGTGTTCTTGTACATCCGTGCCCACAAGAATGTATCAGATGCCTCTCCTTTCCCAAACTGTTTTTAATCATCTCGTCCAGGAAGTTGCTTCTCCTCAGCCTTTTTCCTCATCACAGTTATGTGGCTCCAGGTGGCTGTTTGAGGCATGTTTATAATTTCGTTCTTAATCGTTTGAATAAGCGGTGTGAATGTTTTTTTCACCAACACCCTGGATTTGTTAACGAAGTGGACACGGGTTGTATAGATGTGTTGGGTTTTCCAGTGTTTATGCAGGGATCCGAGTGAAGGAATCTCTGGCTCACTCCAAGCTCAGCACACGGGGGCTGACTCAGTTTCTGTGTTGTTATCTCCAGGCTCGAGGGCTGGACTTGTCCCGAGTAAGGACCTGTGTGGTTGTGGCAGAAGAGCGGCCTCGGATCGCACTCACACAGTCGTTCTCAAAGCTGTTTAAGGACCTGGGCCTTCACCCGCGAGCCGTCAGCACCTCGTTTGGCTGCAGGGTGAACCTGGCGATTTGCTTGCAGGTGAGATTCGCCGCCATCACAGGCACTGAGTCGACAGCGTGGCTTCGGGGGCAGGCGCAGCACAGCCTGTCTCCACCTGTCTCCCCGGCTGATGCTTAGCTACATTCAGAAGAGATCTTTCAGGCGCGCTTGCGATTGGTGCACATCTCTGTTTTCTTTTTTAACTACAGTCTGCGTTCATATCCATTATTCATAACAAGCATTATAGCACTTACTCTGTCCTAGAACATTTTAATTTTTGTGACAGGAGTAGTAGTTTGTCCAGACCCCTGCTGTCAGACTTGTTAAGGTTTAGATCCTAGACAGATTGAGGAATCCGTCTCTTGAAGTACTTAGTCTCATGTATGTAGACAGGCTCTGTAGGAATTACTTACGCTGAGCAGGTTCTGGGATTTCTGCAGTGGCAGTTTAGAAACAGCAAAGCTGCATTTCTGTGAAGCAGGTGTAAGTGGGGACACTCTAGTAAGACCTCATTAGGAGTGGCCGGCCAGCCCCAGGCAGAGCTGCAGATTTGGTTCCTGGAAGAATAAGGGCTTCCTTCTCAGCAGGTGCTGCTGAGGCAAATGGTTGGTGCCATCACCTCCACCTCCCTCTCTGCCCACCCCTGTCCTACTTGCGATCCCAGAGTGATTGCTTAAGTTGCTGCTGGGTGATCGCACAGTGATTGCTTAAGTTGCTGCTGGGTGATCCCATAGTGATTGCTTAAGTTGCCGCTGGGTGATCCCAGAGCGATTGCTTAAGTTGCCACTGGGTGATCCCAGAATGATTGCTTAAGTTGCCGCTGGGTGATCCTAAAGTGATTGCTTAAGTTGCTGCTGGGTGATCCCAGAGTGATTGCTTAAGTTGCTGCTGGGTGATCCTAGAGTGATTGCTTAAGTTGCTGCTGGGTGATCACACAGTGATTGCTTAAGGCTGGTGGGTGATCAGGTTGCTAGTGCTGGGTGATCCCAGAGTGATTGCTTAAGTTGCTGCTGGGTGATCCCAGAGTGATTGCTTAAGTTGCTGCTGGGTGATCCCAGAGTGATTGCTTAAGTTGCTGCTGGGTGATCCTAGAGTGATTGCTTAAGTTGCTGCTGGGTGATCGCACAGTGATTGCTTAAGTTGCTGCTGGGTGATCCCAGAGCGATTGCTTAAGTTGCTGTTGGGTGATCCCAGAGTGATTGCTTAAGTTGCCGCTGGGTGAGCCTCCAAAGGTTCTTTCTGCCCTTTTTGTGCCTGTCTAGATGCTTGAAGTTGGCCACTGGGTCAGAGGAGGAAGCTCCTCTCTTCCTGAGATCACTTCAGAAAAAGTAGCTACAAAGAGCTTTATTTAATTTTCTTTTTCTTTTTTGAGACAGGGTGTGACCCTGTCACCCAGGCTTGAGTGCAGTGACGTAATCTTGGCACACTGCAGCCTCGACCCCCGTCCCCAGGCTCAAGCGATCCTCCTGCCTCAGCCTCTCAGGTAGCTGGGACTACAGGTGCGCACCACCACGCCTGACTGATTTTCCTATTTTTTGTAGAGATGGGGTTTCGCCATGTCACCCAGGCTGGTCTTGAACTCCAGAGCTTAACGATCTGTCTGCCTTGGCGTCCCAAAGTGCTGGGATTACAGACATGAACCACCACACCTGGCCTTTTTTTTTTTTTTCCCCCTATATGTGGTGTTCCTTGTTTCTGTTTTCCTTCTCTTTTAATCATTACAATAGCTCCATTTTTAAGAAATTATAAATTACCAAATTTCTCTAAAGAGTCAGGTAAACCTTGTCCTGTGATTAAAATTAACCTTTTCTAAGAGGTCATCTTAAGAATTAGATTTATCTGGCCAAACTAGTTCTTAAAATATTGACGTTTTCTCTCCCTTTTCACTGTTTTCTGTTCTTCATAAACATTTATCACCATCTATCCCATTAGAGGAGATAGGAAATGCAGAAATCTGCCTCATAATGAGTTCAGCAATAGTGTGATGTCCCATTTGCCTCTGCCCACCAGCCACAGGGACCCTCGGGCAAGAGCAAATCCTTGATTTATGAGAGATGGGCACTGGCAGCGCGAGGCTGCTGCTTCTGGCTTTGTCTCTTAAAACGCTGGGGTGGGGGTCAAGGGAGAAGAGCAGAGTTGCTTCAGTGCTGACCTAGTAACACTTAGCACTGTGCATGCCAACAGCTAACAGAGTTCTACAACCTATTGTGCAACACTGGCCTCTTACAGAGCACATAAATTTGTTTTCCTCTTTGTTTTTCATTTATTTCTATCCACCTGGATCTAAAAATGTTTTCACATGGTTTACAAGGAAGGAGTATGCACAGTAGAAGAAGACAAAATATACTAAAGACGAACCAAAACATGGAGGTAAAAGAAAAAAAGTGTAGGAAAGGGCCAGAGTGAAGAACAGAGTTAGCGTGTGGGTGTTTGCTGCGAGGCGTCTGCAGCGTGCCACCATCCTTACCTCGGCACTGGGGTGGGGCCGGATACGTGGTGGATGTTGAATGAATGTGTGCTGTGAGAATGTTGAGGACTCTTCTGTATTCTGAATAGCAAATAGCAGTATGTTCTTGTACAGAAGACAGTTTCATCAATATGACCGCTAAATCAAAATGCGCTGTTGCTCATCATGGGTCACGGTACTACTTTGCAATCTTGGCAGTATCTTTAAGCATTTTTGTACATGTTCAGTGTTCTACTTATGCCCCATTCACAGCTCCTTTCAATCAGCGTTTCCTTGTCTGAATAGTATTGGAAAATAGTTGGAAGTATCGACGTGTCTACTAGCAGGGGGAAATTAAATTTGTGTACAAAGCAGTGCAGGCTTACCTCCCCTTGCCAGAACCTTTGAGGGTAGGTGTGCCTCAGAATTAGGTTTCTGGCTTTGTGAAAGGTGACGTGCACAGATGCCATGCGTGATGCCACAGCTCAGTATCACATGAGGCAGTGCTCCTGCAGCAAGGAGGGCAGTAGACCCAGGTGTGAAGGGGCTCATGTCAGCCTAGGTCAAATTTTACTACAAAGAAATTTATGACAAAGTTTGTGCCATGATCAAACATTTCTCATAGTCAGTGAGATGGACAGTAAGCATGTAGGTAGTTTTTTTAGGAAGTGAGTAATTCTTAGTAAAAGTAGGCAGTGAGAAGCTGGAGTGCTATGAGCACAGGGGGACATCCTGGGGGCAGGAGGTCAGGAACGCTTCAGCAGAGCACAGCGAAGGGCTGAAGCCGTGTGGAAGTCCAGTGAAGGCAGCAGTAAGCACAAAGGCTTCAGGCAGAGCTGGTCTTTGGAAACATTCATTTTCTAAAAATTTTGCAGAATTAAATATGATGGTGATAGCAAGCAGAGTGGGAGAAGCCCTGGATCCAGAGACAGAACCAGCTTCTCACTCCCCAGCTCTCCAGAGCCCAGCACACAGGACATGCCTGATACGTTAAATGTACGAACCACACTGAGTTCATATGAGTGGTAATAAGCAAAGCCTGAAGTATTTCTGAATTTTGTATACATTGGATTTATTTTTCTTTATAACAAAATATTTACTCTAGAAAGCAAAATCAGAATAGATACATTAGCTTATAAATAAATGACACTCATAAACCTGTCTACCCCAAGATAATCAATCATTTGATGTAAAAAACCAAAAACACGAAAAATTAAGATATTCCCAAAATTCCAAACCTCGTACCTAAACATTTAAAGAAGTGACAAATTTAGTTTTCAGTCTGAAACAGCAGCATTGCAAGCGAGTGTGGAAGCAGGGACACGTCTGCTCTCAGCTGATGGACTGCATCCTAACAGCATCGGTCTCTCCACTGGAGCCCACATGCCCCTGCACCCCCGCACCCCAGCACGCCAGCAGGCCTTCCCTGACTGTGTGCTCTGATGGGGGATGCCTGATGGAGGGAGGGAAGAGTTTTATCTGAGACACGTGATGGAGTGAGGGAAGAGTTTTTTAGCTCCAGGAGATAGGAAGCAAACTCAGCCAAGAACACTGTCCACAAGAGAAGGGGAGCCTCACCCGTGTGCACCAAGGCTTAGGACGTGTCAGTGGCATCGCTTTCAGAAGGGCTCCGGGTCTTTGGGGAAGGCGGAGCAGCGCAGTTCATGATTTTTATTACTGCAGGACTTAAAGGCCTCACTGGTGCTACTGAGCAGGGCTGCATCAAGGGGAAGCCGCATGCAGTTTTACCAGTGCTGACTTGGCACCTGGACAAGCACTTTTTAAAGCATATCTGACACACTAAATGTTACAGGTATACAGATATACATTGGGGGTTTGTTTTTACTTTGCAAAAATCATCTTCATCAGTGGCACTCTGGTCCTCCCGCCATCCAGCCCCAAGCATCTGCCTCCCCTTCGTGCAGCATTTCCTAAGCCACTGTCTTAGGCAGTCTTCCCTGTTCTATGTTGTAACCCTGACACAGGTGACCCTCCTGCCTCAGCCTCCCAAAGTGGTGGGATTACGGGCATGAGCCGCCGCACTTGGCCAAGAACATGGTTTTACCAAAGAATCTCTGCAAGCGTCCAGCGCCATCTCACATAATCACATAGTCGCTTCTTGATGTTGCACACATTTCGTGAAAGTACTGATTCCCTTAACTACCAATTTGCGTGTAAATACGATTCACATTAGAGAAATTAAACATCTACTTACTTGACTAGAGTCTTGTCTCCCATGGAAAATAACTTGGCATGTTGATACACGTTGTCCCAGCTAAGGAAGCCAGTGCTGGGAGCATGGAAACTATATTCTAGTTACCCTGCACATCAGCCAGCTTCCTGACCTATAAGCAATGGAAAGCTCCTTCGGCAATTTGAGACCTGTATGTGGTTTTACCCATGGCAGAGGAGCCAGGAGGAAGAACTTACCATAAAAAATGATAAAGCAAAAAGTTTCTGAATGTTTTAAACAATGTAAATGTCAGTATCTGGTTTGTAAGGTGGATGAGCATTCCAAGGTTCTCACCAACCTGTGGTTTCTAGGCCTTTGTATTCTAGTGAATACAAAACCACAGGCCCCTGGTGTCTGAAG